GCTGAACAAAATGCAAGTCCGTGTCGAAAATCACTAAAACTACCTAGCCTAAAACCTAACTGTTTTTTGAAGAGCCCTTTCAATGTTACCGAAGTTACAATGGGTCGGGTCATAAACAGTGAATCATACAACCTAAATAATAAAACCAAGGGATCAACTATGGTTTTGGACAAATCCTTTTTGCGTCGCTGTCACGTCTCTATTTTTGGGGTATCAGATTCTCGCATGTCAAATACCTGTGGGGCCCTGTGTCATATTCGCTGATCTGTTTTTTGATAATTCTCCGGGTATGTACGGAAATTATCCAGTGAACGGTCATTGAAAACCACGCGTGTGGGAATAAATGGATATTCAGTCGTGTTTTTCGTGCGATCTCAGGGGCGGAGATCCTAAATTTCGGCAGAAATTGATCAAAAGGACTTTTGTTGTCCGACTGACTTTAGTACTCATATTTTTCGTCCGACATTTTACTACACATATTTTAAAATTACATTGTTATCCATATATATTTTTGTCGGACATACATGTATCGTTTCCTTAGGGACGCCATAGCGACATGTTGGGGGCGTCCGACCTCCCTAAAGCCACATGGTTTTTGTCCGACAAATGTGATATCGTTAATGTAATATAAAAAACAGTCGATTGGCATTGAAACTACACGTACATGTATCAACTTTCTTAGGGACGTCAGAACGACAACTTCACGAAGAGCTAGAGCGGAAATTTCCGATCGCCCAGGGTGGAGATATGAAAAATATTGTCCGACTTGGTGTTATGAAGCCGCTCAGGAAGTTTGGCATGTACAGGGTGCTGCAATTTGGAGTGTTTTAACAGGAAAAACACACTTCCAGACCAGATAGAGGAAAATTGACTTAGATGTCATGGGATCGATTTTCGAGAAACGTCGATTGTCAAAAACCGTATCGCGATATCTTCAATGGTACCATTAATACAGGGCGATTTTCGATTTTCCCCTATTATGAAAAATGGCTACAAGTTTTTTATTTATCAATTTTTTTCATTTCTGTGAAAACATTATGGAGACACTTTTTTGAGCACAATCCAGTGGCGGACTCGGTTTTTTTCTATATTGCTCCGATTTCGAGATATCGACCAAATTCCGATATTTTCAAATGAAACATCCTTTATATTAATAGCTCATTGGATAGCTCTGTTTTTGCTGATTTCAATGATATAAAGTTCGATAGGTTTATCTCTAATAGTTTTCCAGAAAAAAAATTATATCTGTGTCAATCATAAGAAACAATGTGTTAGAAAGAGACCTTTCTCACTTTCCTTACACATATAAAATCCTTTTCTAACACATTGGTCCTTACGACAAAAACAGAAATAATTTTTTTTCTCGAAAACTATTAGAGATAAACCTATCGAACTTTATATCATTAAAATCAGCAAAAACAGAGCTATCCAATGAGCTATTAATAAATAGGGTGCTTCATTTGAAATTATCGGAATTTGGTCAATATCTCGGAATCGGAGCGATATAGAAAAAAACCGAGTCCGCCACTGGATTGTGCTCAAAAAAGTGTCTCCATAATGTTTTTACAGAAATAAAAAAAATTGATAAATAAAAAACTTGTAGCCATTTTTCATAATAGGGGAAAATCGATAATCGCCCTGTATTAATGGTACCATTGAAGATATCGCGATACGGTTTTTGACAATCGACGTTTCTCGAAAATCGATCCCATGACATCTTTGTCAATTTTCCTCTATCTGGTTGGGAAGTGTGTTTTTCCTATTAAAACACTCCAAATTGCAGCACCCTGTACATGAGTCACAAAATTTTAAGGTCGATGTACTCGGGACTACATATTTTTGGGCTCATTTTTTTTTATGATGATGGGGGACATAGGGGGGTAATAGGGGAGGTAATAGAAAAATGCCGAAACAAGGGTCCTATTTTTTTATTAGTAGAGTCTACATATCAATTTTTAAACATCTGTGACCTTTCGTTTCCGAGATAAAGAAAATCCCTTCACCCCCTTTAGACATCAAATTACCCCTATTTTTCTGCGCCCAGTTAAAATTTCAAAAAACCCTGAAATACGTGTTCACTTATTTTGTTGGTAGAATCTATATGCCAATTTTCAGATCTTTGCGGCTTCCCGTTTCCGAGATACAGAAATCCTCTTTAATGTTTCAACCCCTATTTTAACCCCCTTAAGAGTGAAATTTTCAAAAATCCTTTTTTAGTAAGAGCTTACGTCATAAACCCAATACGTCATCCAAGTTTCATAACTGTAGGTCAAGTAGTTTGGCCTGTGCGTTTATAGTTGATGACTAACTACCGTTCTTTTATTAGTATAGATTAGAAAGGTGTTGGCTAGGATATAAACTTTAAGGAATCATTGTAATTTAGATATTATTGGTTTGGCTTCCCGCACAGCAAATAGTGCGGGAAGAGTTATTTCCTGTACGCTCGTAGAAATTTTTTTTTTGACAGCAATTTCATAGAGTGAAAACAACCCTAGGGCTGTTTTCAGTATAATGTTAACATGATTGGGTGATTTGTGTCACATGACAATAAATAACAAAATTTACTGGCTGTTAGAGCTGTCAAAAAATTTTCTCTAATAAAGTCCTCACTTCTGAGTACATAAACAGAGGTCGCGTGAGCCGTGAACAGGTTTCTCCCAATTTTTTTACAGGTTAGTATTAGGGAGCTAAATAGTAGGTACGTTGTGACATAAAATTGACAGCATTTGGATAAGTATTTTTCAAATAAGAACCAATAAAATCGGTCTCTACATTATGACTACACCTGCTACACCACATTGATGTCATTATTTATTGTTGCTGTTCCTGTCATACTTCCTAAATATCTGTATTTTGGATTGACAGAAATTTTTCTTAGCTCAAAATTGACTAAAATGGCTCGTTCTTTACGGCTCCGGTTCAAAAGGCCAATATTCAAAACGGCGGTCTTATTTCAGCGACAAAAGAGCGACATATCAAAACAGCGACATTTAAAAAGAGCGATTTATCAAAAGAACGACATCTGAAACGGCGGCATCTAAGCAAAACAGTGACATATCGAAAGAACGACATATTAAAAGAGCGACATCTAAACAGAACAGCAGCATATCAGAAAAGCGACAGTTAAAACAGCGACATCTAAAGAAAAGAGCGACACATCAATTTGAATCAATAATAATCAAGAAAATGCAGAGTATCTCAAACTAATCCAAAATAACCCGTCCGCCTAGTGCGCTTTAGTCCGCGTAAGTTAGTATTGTATTTACAAAAAACAAAGTTGACTTAGTTATAAGCGTAGCATCCCTTGAGCACGCTTTATTTTTTAAATGAAATGAATGCTAACTTACGAGGACTAGATCACATTAGGCGGACGGGTTATTTTGGGTTACTTCCAGCAAGTTTGCATTTCCTTGATTATTATTGGTTCAAATTGATGCCGCAATGCAGACTTACTCAAACTAACCCAAAATACCCCGTTCGCCTAGTGCGATCTAGTTCTCGTAGGCATTTTATTTAACAAAACAAAATTAATTTACTTATAGCGTAGCGTGTCTTGAATGCTCTTTCTTTTTCAAATAAAATGCTAACTTAAGAGGACTAGATCGCACTAGGCGGAAGGGGTTAGTTTGGGTTAGTTTGGGTAAGTCTGCTTTTTTTTATTATTATTGATTCAATTTGATATGTCCCTCTTTTGCTTAGAGGTCGCCGTTGTAAATGTCGGTGTTTTGAATGTCGCTGTTTTGAATGTCTCTATTTTGAATGTCGCTATTTTAATATGTCACTGTTTTAAATGTCGCTATTCTGATATATCGCTTTAACAATATATCGCATTATTGATGTCGCTATATCAAATATCGCTCTTTTGAACCGGAGCCGTCTTTTGCAAGATAAATTTGAAGCGGTCATTATTTTTAGCGAAGCTAACCGAAATCACCATGCTGCTGTTCGTATGCTCAATGAATGCTATCCGGAACGCAAAATAGGCAGAATTTTTTTACGAAAACTAATTTCAAGAAACAGGTACCTAGGCAGAAAGTCATTCTAAGATCTGGGAAGTCAAAAATTATGGAAGATGTGAAAGTCCAGGTGTTAGCTGAATGGGTTGTTGAATCTTAACCCAAACAAACCCATACTTCTGTCAAAAGAATTTTGAAAAACCATAAACACCCATAAGTGAAAATTATACACGAACTAATACAGGCAATGATCCTGATAAGTGATAAGACTCGAATTTTGCCAGAAAGATTCCCAGGGAATCATAACTATTTGCGGAATATCTGTTTCAGTACCGAGAGTTATTTTTTTAACATGTAAGAGCTAACACCCAAAACTGTAGCACTGTAGGTACCAGAGTCACCAGAGTGACGTAAGCCATGTTTTCTGGGAGGGACGCACGCGTCGTCCTAGAATGGCCAGCTCGATCGCCAGACCTCACGCCTCTAGATTTTTTTTTTTGGGGATAAGTTAAGTCTCAGGTGAATAAACCCGCTCTTGGCTCATGAGATGAACAAAATACAGATGTTTGGTCAAGAATAACGCCACAGATGCTTTATAATATCAGAGAGTCATAGAATATTTATTTGTCAGGAGGTCTATGGTGGCAATTTTCAACATCTGTTGAAGTAACCACTGTTTTGTAAATCTGTGCCTTCAGCTTTTATCTAAATTATTTTCTATTTTTTTAGTTAGGGTTGGTTCGCTGTTATTCCTTTACTGTTAATTTTTGTTTTAGTTTAAACATAAATATTTAACAATTATGTGTGTACTTTTCTGGTTCTAAAAGGTAAAAAAAAAGAGAAGGTCTTTTTACGTCAGATAGGTCACTGAATAAGCCCTTTCAATCCCTTCAAGTATGTTAGTGATCACATAATTTTCACTATCTAGACTTAGACACCAAATATCGGAAGAAGATTTGTGTGAACTGTTCTGATTAAAACCCAGATCAGGCCGTGGATATTTTAAATTTTCCCTCGAACAAACCGAATTATGTGGCTACTTACCGAATCATTTTGAAACTCTGATCGATGAAATTGACACCCTCCAGTTCAAGTTTTCTGACTTCTTTGTCATGATTGGACAATACGGCGTCCCAATTTTCTTTGCAGTTTGGGTCGAAAATGTCGAAGTCTATATTTTCGATTTGAATTGATAATCTATCGACTCGTTTCGCTACGTTATCGATGGTTTGCGGATCGCTCACGATTGCTCTTAGTTCTGCTCCGAAAATATTTTTGAAATGACCGACAGTCTAAGAGGAAAAAAAAAATATATTTTACAAACACAAACTGAATGTTCTTCATGGTGTGAATAGAATCTTATCAGATTATTTTCCAGAATAAAAAGTTTCAAGTACAAATATTAAGTGCACAAATCTACTAATCTATTGTCTGGCAATAAAAATGCCCAAAAAAACACCATTTTTCAAATATTTGTAACTTACCATAGCAAATTTATGAATATCCCTGCAAACCTTGGCCATATAATCCGAGGCGGCAAACAACTTGTTTTTATCAAATTCCCACCGCTGCCCCTTACCAGAATCCTCAATTTTTTGCCGCGTTGCCATGTAGGACGCTTTCCAAATATCCAGCATATCTGCCGCATCTAAAGTTATCTTTTTTACGTCACTTATAACCTTCCTGAAAAGTATTACTAGGTTTGTTGACATTATTCATATCGCATCATAGGTATTACCTGAAAATATATTTGCTATCTAAAACCTTCCGAACTTTTTCTAGCAAACACCAAACGATTCTTTCCATAAAAGGTACCATAACTTCATCGGTGTCGTAGTACCTTGACAACACCCAAATCAAGTGCAATCCTTCCATTAAATCCGGTATACTATCTTTAACTTTCCGGAAATCATAACTTCCGTCTATAATCTGGAAAAAAATTAATTTATTTCAGATGTTTATTAAATTAGCCGTGGAACTAATACCTTCAAATGTCTTTTGATTGTAGACAAAAATTTAACATTATCCCTTGCTTCGGCATAGTATTGTTTCAGTTCAATTTGATAATGCATAAAAGCTTCTACAATATCAGAATGGGCCATAGATAATAGGGTACTTATGTGGACTAGGGTGGGCTTCTTTAATTGTTCTACTATAGCGCTAAATGCGGCTTCTCTCTCATGCCAATAATCAAATTCGGGTAATGGACCATTACCAATAGGAGTCTGAGAAGTGCAGAATTATGCATATCACTTTTTGAATTGTGCCAAGAAAAAATTACCTTTGCCAAATAGCTATCAATGACTTTAATAATATGCTTTTCCCAGCCCATGACAGCATCCTCCAATGCTTCAACTACTACGGGATCGCGAATAAGCTCTTCGTTTGTTTTATCAGCTTTAAGAATTTCTGACAAGTCAACCATTGGTAAATCTATATCGTCTTCAACGTGCTCGCATACCCTTAATAATCATTCTTGAATTATTTTAGTTCGGAAAAGTTATTCGGAGTAAATATTCAAACTAAGAATCACGCGGAAATCGGTCTTAACTAGAACTTCTTCACACAAAACCACTCAACCCAGCGTTCAATATGATAAAGATATGTGCCATCCAAATAGTCAACAAGGTGTTAACTTGCCACGGGCTCTAAGGATAATCAAAGAAACACTTGCCACACAATAGTTTACCTTAAGGGCCGGTTCATTTACCTTGTGATAAACTGTCAGGTATGCAATCTAAGGGATAAAAACACAATATGTAATTCCATTAGTCGGCCAGTTTTCCGCTGACCAATAGAATTATAGAACAGTAAATTTATCTTGCAGATAGTTACCAGCAAGTTTATCTCAAGATGAAAACTGGACCTAAGACTGTAAAGAGAGGTCAATATACCGATTAAACTCAGTTGTACTGAGTTATCTCGGAGAACGAAGAGTTGGTTCCAATAAAGAACCAATTAGTGAAATTGAAGTCATTGATTTTAATTTGTCAAAAAAATTGAATGTGTTGTAGCAAAACGCCCCAAGTAATGTCTGCCCAGCGACTCTGTGTCTACGGGGCAACGGTTAGGGGAATGCAGTTGTAAAAAAAAAAATGGCTGATTTCATTCATAAAATACCCAGCTGCGTGCGGAATTTTTTGGAAGTGTTATCGTATTGCAACTCCTACACGAAAATCGAAAATGACCAAACCCCCGCCACTGGATATTTCAATATAAATCGATATTCCAAGATGGGAGGATACAATGACGGAAGCCCTGGCCAATAGCGAGACGTAAGGTGACGTTAGCCCATTGACAACGACATGGTTCCCCGTGGCAATGGCCATCCTGCCAAAAACTCCACCAATCAGGTTCATCCAGGCCGGATGCTTGCCAAATTGTCAAAAATTGATGGTATCTTTAGAAAATGTTTATTTTTTACAATGGACAAAATTGAAGAAATCAGTTATTAGAATAAGAATAGATCTAACAACCACGTTGAAATATTTAGCGTTTTATTGGTATCTATATTTTGTTATTAAAAAATGGATTTTCAAATGAACTATACTTCATGCCTGGTATTTTCGCTTTTTAATAATTAAACGTGACAACATGGCACATTTACGTCCGAATTCCTTCCGTAGACTCAGATCCGCTAGGCAAACAATACTCTATGTAATTAGTTAGATGGTAAATGGCGAGCGGTATATTGATGGTATTTATTTACTTGGAGCTGCTACCTAAAATCTGTGGAAGGGTCTATTTGCAAGAGAGAGAAACAAACAATTGAAGTGTACTAAATTATATTTTATTATTCATAAAACCAAAATTTTTAATCAGCCAAATATCTTCCAATTCTGACAGCCTCATCTATTTTTCTAATTCAATTACTTCACATCCGTTCAAAATGATATTATTACGGACCACCATAGAGAAACAGACTAAAAAGAGAGTAGCGAATTAAACGAGAGAGATCGGCACCGCATTCCTTTATGCCTGTAGCGCAACGCAGACGTCGCAAAGTTGTCCCTTTATTTATCGCGTCGGGATTCGACCTACGTGCTCGTTTCTGTGTCATTCTAGCAACATTGAAGCACTACAGAAGAAGAAGAAGGAAACAGGACGGTAGATATTTCCATATTAACTGACGCATGCTGATGTTTACGTAGATAAACATAACCTCAGTTCACTTCTAGGAAAAATATTTAAAAAAATAATTTTCTATTTTTCCATTAATTATCAAGTCAACAATTGTAATATAAGAAATGTAAACAAAGGGCTTCCGAGAGCTCTCATATGTGTGTCAGGTCAGTGTTGTATTTTTTTATGTTGCATAAATAATTACATTATACTTATTACTTGTTTTATTTTTATTATTTTCAGACTGAGGATAATTCAATGTTTTCGTTTTCTATCACATATTTTTTGTATTTGGAGAGGTATTTATTATTAATTTCATTACTATTGTTGATATTATTCGTATTATAAGAGTTATTGTTTTATTTCATTACTACTTGAAGAATTCAGAGTTTGTGTATATTATTTATATTTTAAGAGTTATTATTTATTTCATTATTGCTTGAAAAATGCCGCTAATAATTTTTTCAATAAAACTAGCTTGATAAAGAATTAGGTATTGTTTTTTTTCCCTAAAAATTTCCATTAAAACCAAATAATCTTCAGTACCAATTTAAATTTCCCGCCATGCATCCCACAAGTTTAGTTCATCCTGTAGCTCACGGAGGCGCTACAGGGATACAGTGGTGCCGATCTCTCTCGTTTAATTCGCTACTCTCTTTTTAGTCTGTTTCTCTATGCGGACCACTGAAATATCCCTACTAATAAGAGACGCCCTATTTCTACTATTCCTAATAACCTATAAGTTAATTCATTTCAACACTTCCGATTCATTCCTAATAAAATACCCTTCACCTAATTATATAAATTTTTTAAAATTTCTAAGTCCTTTACTGACTGCTTATGAAAAACCCAAAATAATTACCTATTTGTTTATTAATATGGGTATTACTATCTTATTTTTATAAAACCTTACAATAATTTCTACATGAAATCCATAATTCAAAATTAATTTCATGAACAATAAGTTCCTTTAACAACTTTCCAATATTTTAAGACAATTCTATTTCATGAACATCAAGTTTCTTTTCAAAATTACCTATTCCATTTAATAGTTTATTTAATCAGAACAAATTCTATTATAAGTTTCCTTTAACAACTTTCCAATATTTTAAGACAATTCTATTTCATGAACATCAAGTTTCTTTTCAAAATTACCTATTCCATTTAATAGTTTATTTAATCAGAACAAATTCTATTATAAGTTTCCTTTAACAACTTTCCAATATTTTAAGACAATTCTATTTCATGAACATCAAGTTTCTTTTCAAAATTTTCTATTCTATTAGAGTTATTTATGTATCAAGGGTACTAAGTAGATGATTATGCCCTGAGGGCGACAGTCTTACAAAGCCGAGGGCCTCTGGCCCGAGGGTTCGTAAGTCGCCCGAGGGTATATATATCTATTAGTACCCGTGGTGCATACAATAATTTATTTTCTACTTTCCTATTATAGATCCATAATACCTAGGAAACGAAATACGTTAACACACCTATAACAACCTGATCCATAACGCCCGCTTTTGCGGGCGTTATGATCTATAACGCCCGCTTATAATACCTTAAGGTGTTTTTGTTGTTGTTGTTCTATTAATTTGCACTTTACCCTAGGCAGCCACTAAATGTCTGACTGAAAATAATTTTCGGTCTAGCCAGGATTCGAACCCGGTCTACCATCAATGTTTCCCATGTAGTCCAGCGCGTTAACCCACAGGACCACCACCGTTGCCTTGCCTTATGAGATGTTTATAGATATATTAATTTATTTCGTTTCTATGTACAGGTCGCAGGTACAGGTACAGGTCACAGGTACAGGTTCATGTCAAAATACAAAACAATATTCTGTCACACAAGTTTAACTGATTTTGTTAATAAAAAATTGATGAAAAAACATTGTGTTGAGTAGAAAATAAAGCATTGTATGCACCACGGGGATTTCAAGATTATAATGCCCTTTAGGCGAAATATATCCCTCGGGCCATAGGCCCTCGGGCTAGTTTCGCCTTCGGGCATTATAATCTACATAATCCCCTTGGTACATAAATAGCTATTATGTCATACCAATACATTATTGTGTTTTTATACCTTAGATACCATCTACATAATTCATTACTTTATGGCCCGCGCGGGCATAAAGACGCAAAAAACAAGTTTTCAATTAACTTATTCTTTATTGACAAAATATAAATTTACGCTTATAAACATATTATTTTTGTCAAAAAATGATGATGTTTGCACATTGATGACAATTTGCGAAGTGACATTTTTTTCCCAGGTATTTATTATTCACAACCAACTGGTATGACATAAAAGTTTGTATGCACCACGGGTACTAATAGATATATATACCCTCGGGCGACTTACGAACCCTCTGGCCAGATGCCCTCGGCTTTGTAAGACTGTCGCCCTCAGGGCATAATCATCTACTTAGTACCCTTGATACATAAATAACTATTATGTCCGATTGACCTATAAAGTGCTATTTATAGAACAGTTTTGCGTCAATAAAGTAGCACTTTATTGTACTAGTAAAATAATGTGCTACTTTATTTTACTAGTAAAATAAAGTGCTACTTTATTGCCTACCTAGACTACCTGACAAGGTGAAACAGGTCCTGATAACCTGCCAAGGTGAAACAGGTCCTGACAACCTGCCAAGGTAAAACAGGTATACCTACGCGAATTTTACTTTTTTCATTAATTTTTTTCAATTTTTAACAAAAACCAGTCGCAATCGTACATAAAATAATGTATATAACGCTTACATAAACAGGCTTTATTGACTCATTATTTAATAGCCTCGCCCGCAAGCTCGCTCGGCCATAAAATTATTCGTACAATAAATCCTTACTTTATGTACTTGCTATATAAATAGCTATTATTTAATCAGAACAATTCTATTCTCGGATTCCTAGCCTAGCTAATAAATCCAACTGTTTAATTCATTATTCCAAATCAAAATTGTATATTGTTAAATGCATTATAAGTTCCCTTCATATTTTTCTTGCGTAATTAAATTAGAATGTCATTATATCTGAAGGCAATTTAAGTTATGCAATAATGTTCCATTGATATTTCACTTTATAGTCATTCATCTTTTATAAAGTCATAAGTTTTACTAGGAGAATCACTCAAGTTTTTAGGCATTGAAAGTCATTTGTTAATTCACTTCTTATCATTCAGAATCATTGATAAAAGTCAGAAAATTATTAAACACTAACGGCCAATTTCATAATCAACTTAAAGTAAACTTTAAATTTAAAGCTCCATTTGAAGTGGAAAAATCCTATCCTAAAAGTCTATTTAGCTAAAGTTACTTTTAATTCTCTATTAAGAAATTGGCTGTAAAGTACTTACATTAAACTTTGCACACGTAAAATTACTTAATTAATTACTCAAAATTTTTAGCTAGCACGCACATAAATGTTGACGAATTTAATAGATCTTCCTTTCAAAATTTGTCCGCTACTTTTTCAAAGACTGTTACCGAGGCAATACAAGAAACTTTCTGGACTGACACTTTAGGTACTGTAGATTTTAACTCAAACTGGACAGGACTGCGAACTTATCTCTCAACTGACAACTGCCTTCCACTTCTAAAACCACGGTATTTATATTAAATCGATCCCCCCGCAAAGTATTATCAATTATCCCCCAAAATCGTCAATAGGCGGTCGTTTGACGATCAATCAGACAATCCCATTGGCCTACCTAAATATTATTAAAAATAATGATGCAATTTCCTTGAAACTTTTATCATTTTAAGTTAAAAAAAATCGAATACTTATGTCGCAATATACTGATTTATCGGGGTCGAATACAGTGGTTCAAGAATGCCATAAATCATTCGATTCAATTAACATGATGGCCTCGCTAGAAAAAAAGTTCATTGATCGGGTATTAGGATGACATCACCCTGTCCTCGTTTTTATTATTTTTAAGAATTTAATTTAGATGATGACATAGGCTGGGTGTCGAATTACGTTAGCGTTAATTTATTTCATTTTTAATTTATCGATACTGATTTGGAAATACCGGAAATTCAGTTCTTGATTATTATTTAATTTTTACAGTTAAGACATTGTGATTTACGGGTCTAATTTCTGGATCATTACAGTGTCATATGAATTAATCTACGACAACCCTTTTTTTCAAGTTTCAAGGTCAAGTATGAACCCTGGTGAAAGGATCTGTACCTTTCATTGATCTTTGTAACACAACATAATGAAGAGAAAAAACCTAGTGCTTATTCGTTGGATGCTTTGCCAGCTACAGACTGGTTGGTGATAGTTCTCGTCAGTGCCACACAAGCGAGCCTACCAAATCAGAAAACAAGATTGGTATTACTGCCAACTACCACAACGCCATGATTGGTGTAAAACAAAATAACAAGTGAACTACAAATTTTTCTATACTTAGTTCCAATTCTGATTAGATCAAATATAAAATGCCAATTCATCAGCAGTGACATTCATCCTTCCTTTTGATTCTACACTCCTACAGACAGACTTGAATAAAAAATAATAATTCTTACCATTGCAGGGTGGTTCCAAAAGCACCGATCTCACATAACAATTCGTCTTTCAGTGGCGTATTCGACTTTTCATCATCAGAGACTGCAATTGAGGCATGAACCGAAAAACGTTCCATTTGTTTTTTAGCCTCATTCGCTACCTTCATAGACCTTCGCTTAAAGCCTTCGTCAGGATTCTCCTCGTCGAATCCCTCCTCTTTGCCTTTTCTCAGCATCGGTTCCATGAAAGTGGACCTGAACAACCGCATGAACAACTAACCAGGATAAATTGTATTGAAGAAATGTTACGTCAATTCTAAATTATTTTACCTCTCTGGTCAAAAACGTAACGTTCTGTATGAAATTTCTAGGCACCGAGCCAATAATGATGTACTTGGGCAATTCAATGTTTGCGTCTTCCATATCGTCAAAATTTGGAATCCCCACTTCAGTCCGTCGGAAAAAATAGACAAACTTTATATCAGTGTTTACTGTGCCTTCCGATATCCAATCAAACCCGCCAGTGAGGCTGTAGTCTGTTACTAATCTTTGGATGATTTTCTGAAAGGAGTATTTATTACTTTTTTAAAGTAGAATTTTTCAAGGCAAACTTATTACTGGGACATAAATGACTTCATCTGTTTCCTCTTCGAGTTCTTCTTCTTTTACGGCTTCTAGAATATTTTTATAGATTTTTTTTATTACACACATATTTTATTTATTTTCACATTTGTTACCTTCCACTGTCTTCTTTTTCCCTTTATGCTTCTTGTCCTTTTTCCCTTTCTTCTTCTTTTTGCCCTTACCAGCTTCAAATTATAAAAAAAAAATAGGTTGCTACCAATACCCCAAATCCGTCACAGAGACACCCACCCAAGTCCTGAGGCAGAGAATAAATTTTTCATTACTCAGAAGACCAATGCAATGACCTCGAAAAATCACTTTTCCGAGTCCTCTTCTAACTTCGCTTGTAGAATATTATTTTTTGCTCCAAAAAGCATGATGCCTTGGGACTTGGGTTGATCTCTATGAACAGTTTTGTAAGCTTTTAGATGAAATTCTTTTACCTGCATCTTCTACATCTGATGTCTCTACATCGGTAACATCAGCAGATGGTAAGGTAGAAGCTTCATCAGTTTCAGTTAAAGGGGTTTCAGTGCCAGGCAAATCTTGTACGGCAGTTTCTTGAACTGATTCCACTCGCTGTTCTGGCACTTGTTCTTCGAGGATTTTTTCTTCTGGTTTTGGATCTTAATGATTAGTTAATTTATAAAAATTAATTTTTACATATTAGAGCCAAGAATTTTTTACCATTTTCGCCAATAGCTTCAGGAGTTTTTTTGCCTTTTTTTCCTTTTTTGGGTTTTTCTTTTCCGCCTTTTTTCTTTTTGGGTTTTTCCAAGACCTCATCAACGACTTCTTTTTGTATGGGGATTTTTTGTACTAAAATAACAATACAAGTTTTAATTTCAAAATGTTAAATTTGCCTTCAAAAAAATATTGAACTTGTAATGCAAAGTGAGCAATTTTAATTTAAGAAATTAAATTCATGAAAAATTCAGACAAAATTTGTGGAAAAACTCACTTTTCCTATTAGGTAGATACTGGATTTTAAATTTTCTCTATTTTTTAACCCAGACTATGGAAGTTTTTTTTTTGAAGATATTTCAAGGAAACAAAACATCCAGACCCGAAAAGAGAGAATCGACATAAATTTTTTAGTATTAGACACAGGGCCGTATCTAGACCAACATTTTGGGGGGGGTTAGACAAACTGACAAAAAAAAAATGTTACACTAGTAATAAAAATAAAAAAAAATTAATAAGTATTTAATAAGTGTTGTTTGTTTTTAAGTTAAATTTTTTGAATTCTATTATTTTTTGGGGGGGTCTGAACCCCCAAAACCCTCCCCCTAGATACGGCCCTGATTAGACAAGTAGTAGACATAAGTATTTTTTTCATACAGCCTCATGGAGTGTCATGGAGGCTTTCTTTCTTTACAGGAATTTCAGAAAAACTAAAATTCAAGATCGCGAATAGGTACAATTCGCTGATTTATGACAAAAAAAAGATTCCTATTTAATTTCATAGAAAAACTACCCCCAAATTAGTAGAAATCTGCGTTTCAACGCCTCCTCGAGAAAGGCTGGACTGATTTTTATGATTTTTGCTTTATTGGATTTTTCTTTGTCCCTACTAACATAATAAATCGAAAAAATCAAAAAAAAACAAAAAACAAAATTACTTATTTATGAAAAAACTTCATTAAGCCCGCATACGGCGCCATCTCTTATAACTGATACCAAGTTTACCGCCTCATTTGCATTGCAAACCATTTTGTATACGGCGCCATATCTGATACCTAGAACGCAGCTCGCCGTTGCGCGGTAATTTCATTGCAGATACAGCAGAACAATGCTGCTCAGGAACTGGAGCTATTCCGAACAGAACTATTCCACTATTCCGATCAGATAGAGTGGTGCAGAAAGAGTAGATCAGATAGAATAGTGCAGATAGAGTAGAACACATGGAGTAGTGCAGTGCAGATAGAGTGAAACAGGGCTGCGCTGGAGATTTTTTTAGTTTTCTTTACATTCTTTGAACATTCCTGTGCCTCTGTTTATTTATTTGGTGGTACACTTTACAAGAATAATGCCCACAAGCTGCCTAAAAAGGGATGATGTAAAATTTGAATTTTAGGTGACTTCTAATCTAGAGAGTAAACATTAATTTTCTTCAACCAAAGCCAAATTCGCCATCGAAAAAAACTGAATTCAATTCGAAGTTCGCCGGGTCAGCTAGTTATAAATAAAGAACATAATGTCTGGCCAACGATTCTTAAGCTACGGGGCATCGTTGAGGGGAATGCATTTGTAAAAAAAAAAATGGCTGATTTCATTCATAAAATACCCAGCTGCAGGGTTGCCAGACGTCCCGATTTAGGCGGGACAGTCCCGATTTTTAAAAATATTTCCGAAATGTCCCGATTCACGAATTGAAAGCCAAATGTCCCACTTTTCAAAAATGTGAGGTAATATATCCTGATTTCTGGCCAACAACACCCTTTTAGGCTGCATTTCCCTTCTTGATCAACGCCGAACGGCTGTAGAGAAATTGTGGGTTGTCTACTTTCAAACATTTTAGTTCGGTCGACACCGACAAGTGCCGACCATAAAACGATGTTCTTTTTCTTTCTAGACCATAATATCATTATATTATACCTCCTCTTTCTAGCAATGTTAGCGGGGGATTTCATTTGTGAGTTAGGATTTGACAACAGCTTTGATCCAACACAGCAGGGTACCGTCACAATTCTGCGCAAACCCTGAAATTTGTTCGTAAAATCCAAAATTCGTATACAGAGTGGTTACCAAACCGTTCATGGGACGGTTTTTGACGTGTTGGAATAGACCTATTGTATTCAAAAAGTACCAAGGGCAAGGACATATTAGGTTTGTTCCAACACGTCAAAAACCGCTCCATAAACGGTTTAGAAACCACTCTGTATACGAATTTCGAATTTTACGCACACATTGTTGGCTTTGCTCAGACTCGTGACGGTACCTTTTACGGTTTCTTGACGTGTTGGAACAAAGCTATTAAATGTAAAAAAAAAATCCCCATGGGGGGAGGGGACCTATATTGTTTTCTTTTTTTGGCGACATTTTTTTGTATTCGCTGTCCCGCTTTTTCAAAATTGAAATCTGGCAACCCTGACCCAGCTGCGTGCGGAACTTTTTGGAAGTGTGATCGTATTGCAACTCGTACACGAAAATCGACAATGACCAAACCACCGCCACTGGTTTGGCATAGAATACTTGAGCCGGCAACGCCGCTCGAAAATTGGGATAGCAGCCCTCGGCGCAAGGGCAGTAGTTGATATCAGGTAAGCGTACCACAGGCTGCTACATGGTGACAGCGGTTATTTTTTTCGTGTTTCAGGCGAAAAGTACCGGTGAAAATAATTTCCATTCAATTAGTGACCTATGGACTCTAGCTACTTTAGTAAAGTGCTCCCAGTGAGTGCGGATTTTTAGTGTGAAAACGGTGAAGACCTTGGCGGCCTGCAAAACGCAGAACCCAGCCAGGTGGGTGAATGCGACGGGCCGGTAGCTTCGATGTTGGCAGATACACTACAACATCGGTAGACTGTGAGATATATTTTTTTTCTTTTAAAGAAAGTAGACTTTTTGGATTGTTTTGTTGATTTTGTCTTCTCTTCACATTTTTCAATCATGGCTAATGAACAGGAAAATGCTATCAGATTGAGTGCGGACGAATTTAATCAGACAGACTTAATAAATCAGTTATTGAGATTACAGCAGGAGCAATTACTAAATGCAGGAAACACAGCTTCGGCACCGGTGATTATGCAGCAGGCCACAATTCCCTTTCCATCTCATTTTCTCTCTTTTCAAGCTGAGGACTGGGAAGACTGGACAAATTCATTTAATAGATACAAAAGAACAGTCATTAGTAATCATTCATCAGAACAGCAAGTTGACTATCTGATCAGTTTGTTAGGCACAAAAGCTGAGAAACCCTTAAAACCATTTCATTTAACACAAACACAACAAGCAGATTTCAACACTGTAATATCAAAATTTGACAAGTTATTTATCCAAAAGAAAAATCTTGTATACGACTCTTTTATAACAGATCTCACCTCTATGGCCCAAAATTGTGAATGGGACAATTTAGAGAAAGAAATGATTAAATTAGGAATAATAGCAAGATGAAAGGATAATAAATTATCAGTACAGCTACAAGCACGCCCAGATGACACATTGGAAGATGTGGTAAGGCATGCCAGATTGGCCGAAGCATTGCACAAGCAACAGTGACAGCCAATCTTCCTACTTCCAATCCAACTGTCGAAGAAAAGCTGGACTAGACGTTGACTACGTTCAGGGGGGCGCGCCCAAAATCATGCAGTAGGAGCAACTCAAATTATGAGAAAAACCCAAAATCAAACACCGAGGCAAAAGATTGCTGACAATGTGGAAGAACTCCAAGACACACATTCGTTGATTGTCCTGCAAGAAAGGATGAATGCAACAGATGCGGAGAAACAGGACACTGGGCGGTAAAGTGTGGCAGTTCAAGAAGTGAAAGAGGCTTCGTCGGACGTGATCAGGACCGGCGAAGAATTAATGATGTAATTGCTCAGGACTCTGCTCCTTCTCGCCACGTAGAATTCCTATCCATTTGCGAGAAGCTACGAAAGAACATTTGAACATCTTAGAAAGCCGATCAATTGTATACAAGGTTAAAGAGCCAACCCCTTGGTGTGCACCAATGGTGGTAGTGCCCAAATGATGCCAGATGGCATTGTCAGAACATGCGTAGACTATACAGTTTTAAAAAAAAATGCGGAACAAGAAAGATTAGTATTACCGGATGTTGAAGAAGCATTGTCCCAAATTGAGGCAGGCTCTCAGTATTTTAGCAAGCTAGACGTCAAATCTGGATTCTAACACATTCCACTGGATAAGGAATCGCAACTGATAACAACATTTATAACGCCATTTGGTCGCCATGCATTTAAACGCTTGCCGATGGGAATCACTTCGGCATCAGAAAGGTATCAAAGACAAATGTTATAGATTTTGGAAGAATTAAAGGGAGTAGTCAATGTAGCAGATGGTAAGAACAAGGATGAACAAGACTTTCGTTTGAAGGCCGTGCTAACACGTTTCCAAAAAAAAAAATATATATATATAAACTAAATAGAAACAAATGCGAATTTTCCAAGAAAGAAGTGACATTTCTAGGCCATAGCGTTCCAGGTTCAGGAATTGAAATCGATGAGAAAATTCGAGCCATTTTAGACATGCAACCCCCCAACGATATAAGCGGAGTTAGAAGACTGATGGGCTTCATACACTAAATTCCTTCCATCAGGATTAGCGGAAATGTCCGACCCCATGAGACAACAACTGTTACAAAAAAACAGCAAATTTATGTGGGCAGAGCCGCAACAACGAGCATTTGAAAGCCTAGAAAAAGCTCTTAAGACAGCTCTAATTTTAGCACATTTTGCTCCAGGATGTCCAAAAAGAGTCATAGCGGACGCCAGTTCATATGAATTAGGAGCAGTCCTGGAAAAAATGGATAAAGATGTCTGGAAACCTATCGGCTATGCATCCAGGACAATGTCCGACACAGAAAAACGATATGCCTGCGAAAAATTCGCCCAATACCTTCTTGGTCAAACATTTATGCTCCTGATTGACCACAAAGCCCTAGTGGAACTTCTAGGAAGCAAACAATCAGCTAGAACCCAAAGATTCCGGATGAGATTGATGCGATTTCCGTTTCATGTACAGTATATTCCTGGCAGAGACATGATAATGCCGGACGTATTATCGAGAGCTTCACTAAAATCCAGTGATCATGGAGCAGAGAGGATAGTTTGTTCGTCAAAAAACTCATAGAAAAA